AAAACCTCGAATAGCCAAAGTAATCCTGAGAAAGAAGAATGGAACTGGAGGAATCAATCTGCCTGACTTCAGACTATACTACAAAGCCACAGTCATCAAGACAGTATGGTACTGGCACAAAGACAGAAATATAGATCAATGGAACAGAATAGAAAGCCCAGAGATAAATCCACGAACCTATGGTCACCTTATCTTCGACAAAGGAGGCAAGGATATACAATGGAAAAAAGACAACCTCTTTAACAAGTGGTGCTGGGAAAACTGGTCAACCACCTGTAAAAGAATGAAACTAGAACACTTTCTAACACCATACACAAAAATAAACTCAAAATGGATTAAAGATCTAAATGTAAGACCAGAAACTATAAAACTCCTAGAGGAGAACATAGGCAAAACACTCTCTGACATAAATCACAGCAGGATCCTCTATGACCCACATCCCAGAATTTTAGAAACAAAAGCAAAAATAAACAAATGGGACCTAATGAAACTTAAAAGCTTTTGCACAACAAAGGAAACTATAAGCAAGGTGAAAAGACAGCCCTCAGATTGGGAGAAAATAATAGCAAACGAAGCAACAGACAAAGGATTAATCTCAAAAATATACAAGCAACTCCTCCAGCTCAACTCCAGAAAAATAAATGACCCAATCAAAAAATGGGCCAAAGAACTAAACAGACATTTCTCCAAGGAAGACATACAGATGGCTAACAAAGACATGAAAAGATGCTCAACATCACTCATTATCAGAGAAGTGCAAATCAAAACCACAATGAGGTACCATTACACACCAGTCAGGATGGCTGCTATCCACAAGTCTACAAGCAATAAATGCTGGAGAGGGTGTGGAGAGAAGGGAACCCTCTTACACTGTTGGTGGGAATGCAAATTAGTACAGCCACTATGGAAAACAGTGTGGAAATTTCTTAAAAAGCTGGAAATAGAACTGCCATATGACCCAGCAATCCCACTTCTGGGCATACACACCAAGGAAACCAGATCTGAAAGGGACACGTGCACCCCAATGTTCATCGCAGCACTGTTTATAATAGCCAGGACATGGAAGCAACCTAGATGCCCATCAGCAGACGAATGGATGAGGAAGCTATGGTACATATACACCATGGAATATTACTCAGCCATTAAAAAGAATTCATTTGAATCAGTTCTAATGAGATGGATGAAACTGGAGCCCATTATACAGAGTGAAGTAAGCCAGAAAGATAAAGACCATTACAGTATACTAACACATATATATGGAATTTAGAAAGATGGTAACGATAACCCTATATGCAAAACAGAAAAAGAGACTCCGATGTATAGAACAGACTTGTGGACTCTGGGAGAAGGCGAGGGTGGGATGTTTCAAGAGAACAGCATTGAAACACATATATTATCTAGGGTGAAACAGATCACCAGCCCAGGTTGGGTGCATGAGACAAGTGCTCGGGCCTGGTGCACTGGGAAGACCCAGAGGGTTCGGGTGGAGAGGGAGGTGGGAGGGGGGACCGGGATGGGGAATACATGTAAATCCATGGCTAATTCATTTCATGTATGACAAAAACCACTGCAATGATGTAAAGTAATTAGCCTCCAACTAATAAAAATAAATGGAAAAAAAAAAAAAGGAAAATTATAAAGTGTCAACTAAAGAAATCAAAGACCTAAATACTTGGGAGTCATATTGTGGTCATGGACTAGAAGACTCAACACAGAAAAGATGTCAATTCTCCCTACAATGATCTATAGATTTAAACACAATTCCTACCAAAATCACAGCAAGTTTCTTTGCAGATACAAACTTGTTCTACTGGCACTTTTAGGGAAATATTTACAGGGAAAAGCCCTAGAATACCAACACAATCTTGGGAAAAAAAAAGGAGGAAGCATTTCCCGATGTTAAGGATTATCATTCAGCTTCAGTAACCGAGATAGCGGTGCTACCTCGGGATAAACACAGGGATCAGAGGAGTAGAATACAGACCCACAAACAGAGCCGCAACAAAATGCATAACTGATTTCTGCTGAAGAAACAAAAACAATCAACGAGGAGGGAACACTTTTTCAATAAATTGTGTTGGAGCAATTAGATACCCAGAATAGGGAGTGGGGGTACACACTGTGACCTAAACCTCACAGTCAAAATAGATCACACACTTAAATGTGAAACTGAAACTTCTAGAACAGGTCATAGGAAATCATCTTTGGACCCTGGGCAAAACAAAGACTATTCTTGGAGTTGATGCTAAATGGATCTCATCAAAATTAAAAACTTCTACTCTGTGGAAAACTCTTAAGAGAATGAAAAGACAAATTATATACCAGAACAAAATATTTCCAAGTCACACATGACAAAGACTTGTGTCTACAATATAGAAACAAAACAAAATCCTTAAAACTTAACATTAAAATAATCTAATTAGAAATAAGTAAGACACGCACAATCTTCACCAAAAAGGATATCTAGATGGGAAAAAACACATGAAAAGATGTTTAACATATTAGTCATTTAGAGAAAAACAAATTTAAAGTACAGTGAGACATCACTGCATACCTACTAGAATGACTAAAATTAAAAAGTGATAACCTCAAATGCTGGCAAGGATAAAGGAGAAACTGGATACCACATACACAGCTGATGATACTGCAAACAGGTATGGCCTTCTGAGATACAGAGTAGACATTCTTGTCAAACTAAAAATGGATGACCCAGCAACTACACTATAGGTATTTAACACAGATAAGTAAAGATTTATGTTCACTCAAAAATCTGTACATGAACATTCAGAGCAGCTTTATTTGAAATACTCAAAATCTGGAAACGACCCGGTGTCTCTCAGTGAGTGAGCAGTGCAACCTGCTGCAGTGCATGCTATGGAAGACTGCTCAGGAAGAGAAAGGAAGGAACTACTGATATATGCAACAGCTTGAATGAACGTCAAGGAGGCTATGCTAAGAGGAAAAAAGTCAGCCTCAAAAGGATATACATTGATAATTCCACTCATGTTACCTTCATCAACAAACATAATTACAAAGATGGAGAAGAGACGAGTGGTTGCCAGAGGCTAGGAGTACATTTAAAGGAGCAATAAGGTAGAGTCTTATGGTGATGGTATAACTGAATATCTTAATTGTGGTGGTGAATATACAAGGATTCACATATTCTGTGAATCTATAATCATGCAAGACAATGTTAAAAGAAACTCAAAGTCAGCTAACACTCATTTGGCTGACAGTGTTTATAAACTTTCCAATGTAATATGTCTTTCTAAATTTGTACTGATGAAAAACATTTTTTTCCCAAATAATTTACAATTCTGCTTCCATTTTATTACTGTTATTTGATTATAATGTCAGCAGAGTCAATGCCTTTTTAAATATAGTACCTTTTGACTTTTCTGACCACAATTTAACCCACAAGCTACCAATAAAATGAATTTGTGAATTCTGATCATCAATAGAAAAGCACCTATTTGTAAAACAAGTATTTGAAGCTTTTTTCCTGACAGTAATGATAATGTAAATTGAGTAACATAATTTTATCTTGCTCCATCCTGTTTTAACCTTATAGCATATATTCATGAAATAATACAGCCAGTGGCTGTGGAATGCAATGTGGTCCCGGTAAACATATCCAGCAAGGATCCACTCTGGAATTTCACACTGACATGATTTTCCAGAGAACTAAAGTTTCAGATCCTATTATTGGTAAATTTTGTTTAGAATGTCTGTGTTTTATATGTAATTAAACACGAGTAGGCAAGAAAAACGCATGCCATTTGTTTGGTTTACTTCAAAGTAACCTTTAATAAACTGGAAAAAAATTTTTTTCTAAAGAAAATTTTTTTCCTAATGGGTGCAAGCTGGAGGTAAAGGTGAAAAACATCATAAGTTAAAAACATCAGACGCTAACACAGAGCTGGTCAGAGTCAACACAGGCATGTTTACTTGTGGTTTTCATATTTAAGAAATAGTTTTTAAAAAATGCTTAGAATCCAGGACAAAGATTAGACCTTATGGAGAAAAGGTTAAATGAGTTAGAAAAGTAGCTAATAAGTAAGAAACTAGGGAAAGCTAGTTGTTCTATGTCCACAGAGAGAACAATAAAAACCAAACAGATTTATACTGTTCTGAAAAAAGTTCAAGCAGGCCCCTGGAAAAACCTCTTGATCATAAAGGTCAACAAGACAACAATGAAAGCTGTGACACCTTTTCCTTAGTAATCCTGCAATTACACATTGAGTGGTCCACTACATGGGGACCAAATGAATGAAATAAATTCACCTAAGTTTACAAGCTCTCAGCAGTTCATCATCAAATGTGATTAAGGTATCAAAGGGTCATTTCCAATGAAGACCTCCATCAGTACCAAGTGACACAAGTTACCAATTAAGACACTAAATTTAAAAAAAAAAAAAAAAAAATCATGAGCATTCCCTGGGGGTCCAGTGGACTCCATGCTTTCACTGCCAAGGGCCCAGGTTTGATCCCCGGTCAGGGAACTAAGATCTCATGAACTTGTGGGGCTTGGCCAAGAAAGAAAACAACAGAAGCACACATGTGGCTGGCAAACTATGGCGTGTGGGCCAACACTGGATTGACACGTTTTTGTCAAGAGAGTTTTACTGGAACACAGCCATGTCCATTTGTTTATGTACTGTCTATTGGTGATTTTGTCTGTAATGGCAGAGTAAAATACTTGTGACAGAGACTGAATGACCCACAAAGTTTAAAACACAATCTGACCCTTTACAGAAAAGATTTGTTGACTTTTGACTTCTACTAAGAAATTCTTTAAAGCAATTAAAATCTGGCTGAAAATGTGTTTTTTCTTGTCAGGCGGGAATCTCAAGCACAAGTGTAAAAGGTGAAAATGGCTCTGATAACTCTCAAGCTGATGCTGGTCAATAAAAGGGCCCCAAACAGATAAACATAAAAATCTGTCGAGTTAACGTAAGAACACAGTACAAGATACAGTCATCAAGAGAGTAACCGCTTACGCTGTATGTGAATGAGCTGCTTTGGCATCTTGAATTCCCCAGGATATATAGACTCATAGTAAGCGATGTTACTTTCTGCTTCTGGGACTGGTATAACCATGTTATCCCTCTTCTCGCCATACACCTGCTGTGCTGAAATAGCCCGCTGAAGATGGTGTTCCTAGAAAGAGGGAGAAACAGGTACATTTACACATTAAAAAATGAGCAATAAGAACATACAGCCTTATGAAGAAGTTTCTTCTTCATTTATTTTTAAAGTAGAGGGATTTTTCGTAGCCTTGTAAGGATGCTAACAATATAGTTGTGGTGAAAACATTTTGAGTATAAACAAGAATTGGTTAGCTACACTGTGTATTTCAATTTAAGAAAAGACACTACACTGCAATTGAAGATTAAATTATATAAGATTAAAAAAAAAGCTGACGAAAGCTGTTACTTTTAAGTCTGTGCTTTGCAGATGAATTTTTTTTAAAAATGGGGTAAAACATTTGAACTTACTGTATGAAGAGCAGGCTATGTGTAAAAAGTATTTTATGGATTATATTCACTTATTCATACAGTGCTTCAGAAATGTCATACAAATGAACTAACATGATCTTTCCAAAGAAGGGTACAGATTATTTTCTCTATTTTTAGTTGATGAAACTGACACAGATTCAAACCTGGTCTTTTGTCCCAAGTAATAATCTTTCTTATGAATTTCTAGATCCCTTTTTGAACAGTAGTAAAGTATGGGGCAGAGCAGGCAATGGCATCCCACTTCAGTACTCTTGCCTGGAAAATCCCATGGACAGAGGAGTCTGGTAGGCTACAGTCCATGGGGTCGCTAAGAGTCGGACACGGCTGAGCGACTTTACTTTCATGCACTGGAGAAGGAAATGGCAACCCACTCCAGGGTTTGTGACTCCTGGCAAGACACTTCATTCCTCTAAATCTGTTTCCTCCAGTAAAAGAAAAATAGAATCTTACAGGGTTGGCTGGAAAGATTTAAGTAATATAAATGTGCATTAGATGTTTAGTATAATGCCTGGCACAAAACCGGTGCTCAAAACGAGCTTTGGTTGAGTTGCCACACAGAAAGATTTTTTTACCAGCTGCCATAAAAGTACCTGTTCTCACCCACCCCAATCATCACTGAATTTTGGTAAAGATTTCATTAAATTAAATTTTAAATTAAAATAGTTTTTAAAATACTAGTTTTTAAAATACTTATATAGACTTTCAAATAAAGGATGTGAAAAGAGACAAAGAAGGACACTACATAATGATCGAAGGATCAATCCAAGAAGAAGATATAACAATTATAAATATATATGCACCCAACATAGGAGCACCATAATATGTACGGCAAACGCTAACAAGTATGAAAGAGGAAATTAATAGTAACACAATAACAGTGGGAGACTTTAATATCCCACTCACAACTATGGATAGATCAACTAAACAGAAAATTAACAAGGAAACACAAACCTCAAATGACACAATGGACCAGCTAGACCTAATTGATATCTAAAGGACATTTCACCCCAAAACAATCAACTTCACCTTTTTCTCAAGTGCACACGGAACCTTCTCCAGAATAGATCACATCCTGGGCCATAAATCTGGTCTTGGAAAATTCAAAAAAATTGAAATCATTCCAGTCATCTTTTCTGACCACAGTGCAGTAAGATTAGATCTCAATTACAGGAAAAAAATTGTTAAAAATTCAAACATATGGAGGCTAAATAACACGCTTCTGAATAACCAACAAATCATAGAATAAATCAAAAAAGAAACCAAAATATGCATAGAAATGAATGAAAATGAAAACACAACAACCCAAAACCTATGGGACACTGTAAAAGCAGTGCTAAGGGGAAGGTTCATAGCATTACAGGCTTACATCAAGAAACAAGCCAAATAAATAACCTAACTCTACACCTAAAGCAATTAGAGAAGGAAGAAATGAAGAACCCCAGGGTTAGTAGAAGGAAAGAAATCTTTAAAATTAGGGCAGAAATAAATGCAAAAGAAACTAAAGAGACCATAGCAAAAATCAACAAAGCTAAAAGCTGGTTTTTTGGAAAAATAAACAAAATTGACAAACCATTAGCAAGACTCATTAAGAAACAAAGAGAGAAGAACCAAATTTACAAAATTAGAAATGAAAATGGAGAGATCACAACAGACAACACTGAAATACAAAGGATCATAAGAGACTACTACCAGCAGCTCTACGCCAGTAAAATGGACAACTTGGAAGAAATGGACAAATTCTTAGAAAAGTATAAATTTCCAAAACTGAACCAGGAAGAAATGGAAGATCTTAACAGAGCCATCACAAGCAAGGAAATCGAAACTGTAATCAGAAATCTTCCAGCAAACAAAAGCCCAGGACCAGATGGCTTCACAGCTGAATTCTACCAAAAATTTAGAGAAGAGCTAACACCTATCTTACTCAAACTCTTCCAGAAAATTGCAGAAGGTAAACTTTCAAACTCATTCTATGAGGCCACCATCACCCTAATTCCAAAACCACACAAAGATGCCACAAAAAAAGAAAACTACAGGCCAATATCACTGATGAACATAGATGCAAAAATCCTTAACAAAATTCTAGCAAACAGAATCCAACAACATATTAAAAAAATCATACACCATGACCAAGTGGGCTTTATCCGAGGAATGCAAGGATTCTTTAATATCCGCAAATCAATCAATGTAATACACTACATTAACAAATTGAAAGATAAAAACCATATGATTATCTCAATAGATGCAGAGAAAGCCTTTGACAAAATTCAACATCCATTTATGATTAAAACTCTCCAGAAAGCAGGAATAGAAGGAACATACCTCAACATAATAAAAGCTATATATGACAAACCCACAGCAAGCATCACCCTCAATGGTGAAAAACTGAAAGCATTTCCCCTGAAATCAGGAACAAGACAAGGGTGCCCACTCTCACCACTACTATTCAACATAGTGTTGGAAGTTTTGGCCACAGCAATCAGGGCAGAAAAAGAAGTAAAAGGAATCCAGATAGGAAAAGAAGAAGTGAAACTCTCGCTGCTTGCAGATGACATGATCCTCTACATAGAAAACCCTAAAGACTCTACCAGAAAATTACTAGAGCTAATCAATAAATATAGTAAAGTTGCAGGATATAAAATTAACACACAGAAATCCCTTGCATTCCTATACACTAACAATGAGAAAACAGAAAGAGAAATTAAGGAAACAATACCATTCACCATTGCAACAAAAAGAATAAAATACTTAGGAGTATATCTACCTAAAGAAACAAAAGACCTATACATAGAAAACTATAAAACACTGATGAAAGAAATCAGAGGACACAAACAGATGGAGAAACATACCGTGTTCATGGATTGGAAGAATCAATATTGTCAAAATGGCTATTCTACCCAAAGCAATCTATAGATTCAATGCAATCCCTATCAAGCTACCAACGGTATTTTTCACAGAACTAGAACAAATAATTTCACAATTTGTATGGAAATACAAAAAAACCTCGAATAGTCAAAGTAATCTTGAGAAAGAAGAGTGGAACTGGAGGAATCAACCTGCCTGACTTCAGACTCTACTACAAAGCCACAGTCATCAAGACAGTATGGTACTGGCACAAAGACAGAAATATAGATCAGTGGAACAGAATAGAAAGCCCAGAGATAAATCCACGAACCTATGGACACCTTATCTTCTACAAAGGAGGCAAGGATATACAATGGAAAAAAGACAACCTCTTTAACAAGTGATGCTGGAAAAACTGGTCAACCACCTGTAAAAGAATGAAACTAGAACACTTTCTAACACCATACACAAAAATAAACTCAAAATGGATTAAAGATCTAAATGTAAGACCAGAAACTATAAAACTCCTAGAGGAGAACATAGGCAAAACACTCTCCGACATAAATCACAGCAGGATCCTCTATGACCCACCTCCCAGAATATTGGAAATAAAAGCAAAAATAAACAAATGGGACCTAATGAAACTTAAAAGCTTTTGCACAACAAAGGAAACTATAAGTAAGGTGAAAAGACAGCCTTCAGATTGGGAGAAAATAATAGCAAATGAAGCAACAGACAAAGGATTAATCTCAAACATATACAAGCAACTCCTGAAGCTCAATTCCAGAAAAATAAATGACCCAATCAAAAAATGGGCCAAAGAACTAAACAGACATTTCTCCAAAGAAGACATACAGATGGCAAAAAACACATGAAAAGATGCTCAACATCACTCATTATCAGAGAAATGCAAATCAAAACCACAATGAGGTACCATTACACGCCAGTCAGGATGGCTGCTACCCAAAAGTCTACAAGCAATAAATGCTGGAGAGGGTGTGGAGAAAAGGGAACCCTCTTACACTGTTGGTGGGAATGCAAACTAGTACAGCTGCTATGGAGAACAGTGTGGAGATTCCTTAAAAAACTGGAAATCGAACTGCCATATGACCCAGCAATACCACTTCTGGGCATACACACTGAGGAAACCAGATCTGAAAGAGACACGTGTAGCCCAATGCTCATCGCAGCACTGTTTATAATAGCCAGGACATGGAAGCAACCTAGATGCCCATCAGCAGATGATTGGATAAGGAAGCTGTAGTACATATACACCATGGAATATTACTCAGCCGTTAAAAAGAATTCATTTGAATCAGTTCTAATGAGATGGATGAAACTGGAGCCCATTATACAGAGTGAAGTAAGCCAGAAAGATAAAGAACATTACAGCATACTAACACATATATATGGAATTTAGAAAGATGGTAATGATAACCCTATATACAAAACAGAAAAAGAGACACAGATGTACAGAACAGCTTTTGGACTCTGTGGGAGAAGGCGAGGGTGGGATGTTTTGAGAGAACAGCATTTATATTATCTATAGTGAAACAGATCACCAGCCCAGGTTGGATGCATGAGACAAGTGCTCGGGCCTGGTGCACTAGGAAGACCCAGAGGAATTGGGTGGAGAGGGAGGTGGGAGGGGGGATCGGGATGGGGAATACATGTAACTCCATGGCTGATTCATGTCAATGTATGACAAAACCCACTGCAATGTTGTGAAGTAATCAGCCTCCAACTAATAAAAATAAATGAAAAAATAAAGTTCAGGGATGAAAAAATTCCAACAGTATG